AAGCTCTATGAGAAAAATGAGTAAAGACATTTGATAAGGTATTACAAATGCTAAAAAACATAAAAAAATACATTCTTTCACATATTTCTCTGACAATATCATCTAGTCTGTCCAGTAAAAGAGCATCTACATTCTTAAAAATGAAGGTGCCACAATGGTTCTTTGGAGTAATTTCATAGAAGAACCACCTTTGGTTCCCTACAGAACATTTAAATGGAATTTTCTCTAAAGGAATTCTCCAGCATTTTTCAACCAATCTGCTTCGTTGCTAGAATATGGTTAAGTACCATAAGTTTGGAGTATTTAACCATCCATATAAGGTACTTTATGAAACTAAAAGTTGTTCTTCTGTGGTATCTCTCTAAAGAACCCTTTTGGCATCTTCGTTTTTAGTAGAGTGCTCTTTTTGCTGCTGCCTGTTTCCATTCATAATATGTAGCAAATGAACCTAGAAGAGATGGCTGCATCTGCTAGGCCTTAGTTTCTTTGGCAGCTGGTAACCCCACCTGCCACCTCCTCAGCCCATCATCATGCATATGTCTATCACAACGGCCACAGATAGATGGTAAAATGTTCACTATCACATTTTAACTTACTGTGGGCAGGCTTGACATGTTTTCTCAGCTTTATACAGTATCTGTAAGTAGAAAACTTTTACGTTTTAAACATTTTGTTTCACAGTGTTTACAAGCCTAAGCAGGAATGCTTATGTTACATTGTGTTGAATGAAATATTTCAATTCATTCAAATTCATTCTTCAGCTACATTCATTTTTTTATTAAAAAATATTCAAGGTACAGGGGCATATAAAAAAAGTACAATGTAGGTGTTACTATAAACACAATCTGTGTGCCTCACTTACTCATTTACTTTCATAATACTTTTATGAATGATGTATAACACAGAGGCAGGACTTTTGTTCCAACGCCTCTTGTTTCAGAACAAAAACTATAGTAGTATAGTGATTCATTGTGATGTTTTGAACATAAAATGTCCTATTCCAACACACACTTAAAGTTCACGTACCTAAGGTGTGTCAAACTAGGTTTCTTCTAGGCCACAACTCTGCAGAGTTCACCATGCTACCTCAATAAACACCACTGATTCAGCTCATCATAACATTAGCAAGGCCTTTGTGAGATTTATTCAGAAGCTGCATTTTAAAAGCTAGTAAGGAAGGGGGCTCCTTCATAGCACTGTCCTGTGAAGACTCCTTGTTGGTATTACTCAATGAAAAATGATCCAGAAGAAGTCTGCGCAAGAAATTTGAGAGTGAAAATAAAATTTAAAGCAAGTACTGTTGTGCTTTTACTCAATAAGGCCCTCTACAGAGAACATACTTCTGCATGTTCTAATGCACAATTACTATTTATTTGTTGAATTTAACATGGGGAAAAAATGTACCTGTGCAAAAGTTATGGCACAATTCATGCTATGTTTTATATTTATCCAATATGTCAAAGTCAGCAAATAAATAGAAATTCTGCACTAAAATTTGCAAAGAAAAGCTATATTAAGTTGTGTTTATCAACAAATATATTTTTTGCAAGGCACTGTATATGCTTAGCAGTATGCAAAAGTTTGAACACATCCTGTCAAATTACATATTTTGCTACATACATATTTTGTTACATTACATATTTCCTTTGGAGATTAATCCTGGTTAGTTTATTTATTATCTCTGTGCCCACTTGTGGTGCTTAAATAATAAAAAAGCATGCATGAGTTCATATGCTTTTCCCAAAAGAATAATGACAACAATCTATTAACACAGTTAAAACATCAGAGTATTGGAGATTTAATCAGAGGGTGTGATTAATCTCAGTGGGGACGAAATACCATTGAGACTACTATTTATTCAATACTTGAATACTGCCAGAAAGAAGGCCCTACTGACGAGTGATGCTGTGGCCTACATATTCTGGTCAGCTACTCTTTTTGACTCTGCTAAGCTATGATAGTATGTGCTCTGCTATATATGCTTTATGTGATTTACAATTATTAGCAGTATACTTTACAAAAACATCCTACAGCATTTGCTTTATCTGACTTACATTTTATCTGGAAAAGCACTGTTTTAAATCATATCTGTCATATTGTTGAGCCTATGTGTTGCATCATTCCAAGCAAAATAAAATGCAATGTGCTACACTTTAGATGTTTATGGAAACAAGACAGAGTGTGTACATGAATACATTCCAGTGGGAATAGAGAAAAGACAGTTATAATTGTTTGTTTGCACTCTCTCTGAGCACATGCAATATGCCCTTAATTTATTCTCTAAAGATGCTTGACAGTCCCAGAGGACTAGTCAGACAGGATGCAGATCCTAAGAGATTGCACACCCTCAGTAAACATGCAACGCTAATGAGGCTGCCATAGTTACTCAAAGCAACTGACGTTTAGTCTTTGACTCAAAGCAACTGATGTCTCATCTTTGACTAACATTTTAGAATAACAAGTCCACTGCCTGTGTCCATAACACTGGTCCCTTAGGCCACCTTGCCCCATTAGGCAATCTGTAATGCAATAGTGACACATTTCTTGTTGTTTTGAATCCTTGATCCAGCACATGAAACAGATATGGATATGAAACAAAACAATGACTATGCCCATAAGGTTAAAGTTCAAAGTCTTTTTAGAGACTTTTTCAGGGTGTTTTAAACTACATATTAATTACAGCTATTTTATACATGGCCCCCTGTTTAGTTGTTTCTTGATAAGACATGTGCTATTACATGATTTGTTTGTGCACAAAAGAGCTAACAAAGGGTGCAAATTACAGGCTTGCTACAAAAACAAGACCAGGTTACTATTTGCAAAATAAAAGGAAAATAAAGTTTGCATGACCCAAAGAGTACTACCTCATCTGAGTAACATGGAGTCATAGGCAGGTATGGCTCACTTGTCTCTTTTCATGTGACTATGAATGGCAGCAGATGAATGAACTGTAGAGTGTACACAAGCATCTTCACTGGTCTGATGCAACCAAATGCATCTATGGCTTTTCAAAAAAGAAAAAGTGGAATGTTCTTGGCAGGCCAAGTCAATCACTCTTGTGCTTGCATTTCACTTGCTAAAAAGAAAACTGAGGGAAAAAAATCTCTCTAAAAATACTTAAAAAGGCTACATTGCAGGCCTGGCTGAACTTCACTAGGGAAGAGACCCTTCAGGCAAGCATCAGCAGTAAAGTACAAAACATGACAATTTTATTAAGATTATATTAACCTCTCCAATTGCTTATGGTCTAATGAGATGGGGAGAGTTTTTGGGGAAAAACATCATCCTTTTCTTTGCTCATTGTCTCCAGGAACACTGTTGTTTATGACCTTTCCAATCAGGGTGACAATAAAAAAAGTTTGAAAAGCATGGAACAGTTGAAAATTTGCCAGGAAGAGGATGCATGAACATACTACCCCTACATACAGTGATGATAAGAGAGGCAAAAAGGAACCCAAATATCACAGTTTCAGTATTGCACAGTTTTCTTGAATCTTGGCATTTATAAATTTCAAAAGCAACTGTCGGATTTCCATGACCAGAAGCTTTTTTGAGTGTACCAGAAATTAAGCTTTTCCTCAGAGCAAGGGACAAACATGCAGTGCATGAACTTTGCAACATGTCACAAAACTAGAGATTTGTGTGAAGTGGTCAGATGAGACAAAAACTAAAATTTTTGGTCATGCATACCATTATCACATTTGGTGAATAAAGGGACTGCATACAATAAAAGCTCCAGACATCCACTGTCAGATATAGAGGTGCATCATTGATGCTTTGGGGCTGTTTTGCTGCTAGTGGTCCAGTGAAAATCAGTGACATAATGAATTCCACTAAATACCAGGAGATTTTAGCCCAAAATCTATCTGTGTTTGCAGGCTGAAATTTGGCTGTAAATGGAGCTTTCAGCAAGATAATTACCCAAAACACACTTCAAAATGCACACAGAAATTTGAATTTCTTCCAATTTAAAAAAAACAGTGTTGTGTATTGAAGAGGGCAGCCCACAAATGAAGACCCAAGAATATCAAGGAATGGAAATGTTCTTCATGGAGAAGTGCTCTGAGATCCCTCAACAAGTGTTAATAGTGATACCAATAATTTTGAAACCTATGTTTAAAAATAAGTGTGTCACTTAAAAAAGTGTAAAAAACAAAAAAATGCCACCTTCATGTGTGCTTTATTTATATATATTGATTGTTGCTTTTTTATATATATTGATTTTGCTAATTCTGTAGCTGCCTATTTATGGTATATGCAGCATTTCCTGCAGTATTTTAGTAAAAGCAAACAGATGAGCTATAGAGAACATAAAAAAATTGTGGATTATACAAGCAAAAAGACCAGGCAAGGCAAATCAAAAGTCAACATTGGTGCAGAATATTATCTCAGAATGCACCACTTGATAGACTTTGGGCCAAAGTGTTACGGTGATGAGCATTTACTGTCATCTAACGCTCTGAATTCAATTCATAAAAGCCTTGCTAAATAGCTAAAGAGCTGAATAAGGTGTGTTTAAGTTTGCTGAAGTCTGCAGTGTTTTGGCCCACGACAACTGGAGCATGACGTGTTATAGATTATTAGGTATAATGTCTCATCCTTATAGAACTGACTATGCTAACACATAAAAGGACATTTTGTTGAGATGGGGATAGAGCAGGCTTCCCCAGGGCAGAATGTCCAGGGAAATAATTGACAGCTTTTACTATAAAATACTGCAACAAAGAACAGAAGACTTTGAGAGTTCTGAAAGAGAGGTGAGGCCAGGAGTCTGTCAGTCATGTTATAGGTAGATCTGAGAATCAAACAATACAGATACATATGTTTGGAGCAATCAGTAATGCATAGTGATGAGTGCTTCTAATGTAAGGAATTTGTATAATAAAAAACAAATACATAGTAATGTGCACAATATAATATTGATACAGCTGATGTAAAATGTTTATCATGTTGATGAAAGCAGTATGTGAATTCACTTTTTTTTTCTCAGTGTTTTCAGTATGTCACAAGAAAACCGGAGTGCGCTTACTGTTGTAACAGAGTTTTTCATCGTTGGCTTCCCAGGACTTCAGCCTGAGTACTATAATTTACTGGCCGCCATTTTTTTGGTCATTTATGTGACAACTGTATTGGGGAATTTAGTTCTGGTGGTGTCATTTGCAATTGCACCAAATCTCCAGAAGCCTATGTATATCACTATGCTGAGCCTAGCCCTGTCTGATATTGGATTCTGCACAGTTGCTTTGCCTAAAATAATCTCTCGCTACTGGTTCAACAATGGCTCTATCTCCTTCTATGCTTGCCTGATACAGAAACATTTCATTCACTATTTTGGAACTCTGAACTCTCTTATTATGATGACCATGGCTATAGATCGCTATCTAGCTATCTGCTTCCCACTCAGATACCCTATACTTATGACCAATTGGACTATGAGTCATCTATCATGGCTTTCCTGGGTGTCTGCTATGATTGCCCCTGGCATTAACACCATCCAGACTACAGAGATGGTGTTTTGTGGGTCCAATTTAATTATTCACTGCTACTGTGACAGTATGTCTGTGAACAGTTTAGCCTGTGGTGATATTACGTTACAAAAAGATATTACTACAACCGTGGCATCGATTGTACTTCTTTTACCTTTCTCTTTCATCATTTTCTCCTATATCAGCATTGGGATGTCTATAATCAGAACAACAAATAATCAAGGCAGCCTGAAAGCCTTCTCTACCTGTGCCACACAGCTGTGTATCATTAGTATCTATTACATTCCACGTCTCTTTGTGTATTTTACACCTTATATGCCTTACTTCAAAATGGATATAAATCAGAGACTTGCAGTCACTATGTTTTATGGGTTGTTCCCACCACTAGTAAACCCCCTCATATATTACTTTAGGACCAAAGAGATCCGTCTTCTGCTGTTGAAGTGGTGCACTCAGAAAAATGAGATAGGCCCAAAAATGAATATTGTGGCTGTTTCTAAATAAGACATAGAATATTTATTAATATAAAGAGTTATAAAGCCTTACCACTGTGTATACTTTGTCTAAGCTAATGGATGTATTCAGAATGTATATAGTGCTGTAGTCATTAATAAACCTTAAGAAACATTTGGACATAATCACTTATCTATAAATCTTTGTAACTATCTTAAAATAACAAAATATAAGAGGATTTTTTGGATACTTATTGTGATACTTTGTGAATGCTTGTACATACAAGCATATTATTTAAAAAAAAATCCAAAAAAATAAATCTTGGGCAGATGACAAAAAGCCTTTTCACCAGCCAAATTCAAGATGTGCTGTCTGACAAAATTACAGGTAAAAAGATGCGCCGTCATAAGTCTTTGAAGAGACCAAGAAGCTAAGCTTAGAAGCTTAGAACCAAAAGGGTGTAAGTAAGATTTTGGGTGATATATATATATATATATATATATAAAGAAATTTACTTTACAATGCAGCCAGGCAGAAGAGGCTACTATCTCATTTCCAAATCCATCTGAAACGTTCATAGTCTCTATGAAAAGCTATTTTTTTGCTGTTATTATATCCTGAATATTCTGTAGTCTATTTTGTATTCCCAGTGTTGTGTAGCCTACTGTCAGGTGGTAATATGGCTAAACGTAATTAATTAGTTATTAATCTTAAATTGTTAGTTAGTAAATGTCACTTATCATCCAGTTAATGATTCTTGCTATCATATCTTTTATTATTACAAAGATATCTGTAATGTCTTTTCAATTGCCCATCAGGTCAAATGGTTAAGTGGCTGGGATTACTATTTTAGCCAAATTAATAACATTCAATGAACTAATATGTTGTAAAGATTTTTTATGTGATATTTTATCACAATGGATTGCTGTTTCATTTAAACTTATTAATGCTAGGCTTTGTTCATATTGTCACCATATGCTCCCATGTTTTATATTTGAAATGGAATGAAACATTGGTGCCAAAAAAGCATGTGATGTTTTTTTCAAATCTAAAAATGTAGAAAAAAAAATATGTTTTTGAATGCATGATAAAATATTGTTCATTAACTATACTGTCATCCTGTGCGCTTAAAATTTTGTCCTTAAAGATTGAAATCAGTACACAAAGTCAGATCAAACTATGGTCATTTTTTGTTTTGGTCCTCCTGCAAAGTTTGTGGATTGTCACTTACACCCTTTTGGTTCAAACCTCTCGAGACTTTACCACCCCAGTAGGCTTGTAAGTGCACAAAGTTTCAAGTAAGCATCCAAGGCCTCATTTTAAAAGTACATGTGCTCTGGTAAATAAAAAGGTACTCTGATACCAAAAGATACCAACAGTCTGGCACTAAAAAATTTTAAGTTGTAGTATGGTTTATATGTTTTTCTTACTCAAGTAAAAACATAAAAAGGGCATGCCCCAGACATACTACACGCAAAAATGTAAAAGTATTCATGTAAAAAGTGTTTCTAATTAAATTTTTGAAACAGCATATTTTTAGTGAATGTTAATTAAATGTACACAACCATGACATAATTCAAATGACACATGTTAATATAATTTTTTTTGTTAGTTTGTTTTGTTGCTATTGGGCGGCATGGTGGCGCAGTGGGTAGCGCTGTCACCTCACAGCAAGAAGGGCCTGAGTTTGATTCCTGGCTGGGCAACCAGGTTCCTTTCTGTGTGGAGTTTGCATGTTCTCCTTGTGTCTGTGTGGGTTTCCTCTCATGGTCCAAAGACATGTGGTCAGGCCAACTGGACATACTAAATTGCCCCTAGGTGTGATGGTGAGTGTGAATGTATATGTCTGTCTGCCCTGTGATGGACTGGTGACCTGTCAAAGGTGTGTCCTACCTTCTGCCCAATGACTACTGGGATAGGCTCCAGCTCCCCCTGTGACCTGGAGGGATAGGTGGCTTTGCGTGTGTGTTTTGTTGATATTGTTGTAGAGCATGTGTCAAGAATTGTGTTTTCAATCAATCCAGTGAAATAATTTTTGTAAATAAGGCCATGGATGGGGATGTTTTTTTCTGATGTACTTGCACATTCCAGATCATGTGCTTCTTTGGATTCCATGACTTTGGAATTCTCATCTGCTGCTTCGCTTTTCATCCTTTTTGTGCATTCTTGCTGGCTGTAAAAGCAGCCAATAACATGTGACTTGTAGAAATGTGCAGAAAAGGGATAATTTCTGTTCAGGTTTCAAACCCAATAGGATTTTGATTTGGTGACAATTTAGCATTTGATGAGGTGCCTGAATAGAAGTTGCCCAATTAAAATAACAATATAAGATAATAAGCATTACATGCATGTTTTTCTTTAGGACGCACTACTTCATAGATTCTAAGGTAGGAACTCACTTTATAGAACTGATCTTTATTATGCTGACACTGAAGTCAACAAAACATCAATTAGATGACATGGGGATAGTCTAGTCTTCCCCGAAGGGAGAATGAGAAATGTACAAGGAAATAATTGACAGCTTTTACTATAAAAGACTGCAACAAAGAGCAGAAAACTTTTAGACTGTGGTAAGAGCTCTGAAAGAGAGGTGAGGCCAAGAGTAAGTCAGTTCCTTTCTTGGTAGATCTCAGAATCAAACAATACAGATGTACACTATACATAAATATGTATGTATAGTGCAATCAGTAAAGCATAGTGACGAGTGCTTCTAATGCAAGGAATTTGTATAATGATGCATACACAGTAATGTGCACAATATAATATTAATACAGTTGATGTAAAATGTTTGTCATGTTGATGAAAGCAGTATGTGAATTCACTTTTTTTTTCTCAGTGTTTTCAGTATGTCACAAGAAAACCGGAGTGCGCTTACTGTTGTAACAGAGTTTTTCATCGTTGGCTTCCCAGGACTTCAGCCTGAGTACTATAATTTACTGGCCGCCATTTTTTTGGTCATTTATGTGACAACTGTATTGGGGAATTTAGTTCTGGTGGTGTCATTTGCAATTGCACCAAATCTCCAGAAGCCTATGTATATCACTATGCTGAGCCTAGCCCTGTCTGATATTGGATTCTGCACAGTTGCTTTGCCTAAAATAATCTCTCGCTACTGGTTCAACAATGGCTCTATCTCCTTCTATGCTTGCCTGATACAGAAACATTTCATTCACTATTTTGGAACTCTGAACTCTCTTATTATGATGACCATGGCTATAGATCGCTATCTAGCTATCTGCTTCCCACTAAGATATCCTATACTTATGACCAATTGGACTATGAGTCATCTATCATGGCTTTCCTGGGTGTCTGCTATGATTGCCCCTGGCATTAACACCATCCAGACTACAGAGATGGTGTTTTGTGGGTCCAATTTAATTATTCACTGCTACTGTGACAGTATGTCTGTGAACAGTTTAGCCTGTGGTGATATTACATTACAAAAAGATATTACGACAACCGTGGCATCGATTGTACTTCTTTTACCTTTCTCTTTCATCATTTTCTCCTATATCAGCATTGGGATGTCTATAATCAGAACAACAAATAATCAAGGCAGCCTGAAAGCCTTCTCTACCTGTGCCACACAGCTGTGTATCATTAGTATCTATTACATTCCACGTCTCTTTGTGTATTTTACACCTTATATGCCTTACTTCAAAATGGATATAAATCAGAGACTTGCAGTCACTATGTTTTATGGGTTGTTCCCACCACTAGTAAACCCCCTCATATATTACTTTAGGACCAAAGAGATCCGTCTTCTGCTGTTGAAGTGGTGCACTCAGAAAAATGAGATAGGCCCAAAAATGAATATTGTGGCTGTTTCTAAATAAGACATAGTATATGTTGTTGTTATTAATAGTGTTAAAGCATTATCAATGTGTGTATGCTTCATGTAGTCTAAAGGATGTATTCAGAATGTACATATATTGTTGTATAATCACTAACCCATTAATCTTTGTCACTATCTTCACAAAAAAACATAATGTAAGAGGATTTTTTTAGAGGCAAAACAATAAATCTTGGGCAGATGATGAAAAAAACTGTTTCCACCAGCCAAATGTAAGATATGCAGTCTGACAAAATCACAGATAAAACCATAAACCTGTGCTGTGACATCATAGCACAGGTTTATGATTTTGTGAAGAGACTTTACAACCTCAGTAGGCTGGTAGGTGTTTGAAGTTTCAGACAAGCATCCAAGGCCTCATTTTAAAAGTACAAGTGCTCTAGTAAAAAAAAAAAGTTTTGGTACCAAAAAATTGTAATTTTTTTTCATTCAAGTTAAAGCATGAAAATACATGCTCCTAGACAGTAAAAATGTAAATTTATTTTAAAAGTGTTTTGAAACAGGGCATTTGTAGGGTTGATTAGATGTATCCTAACCAGGACATTATCCGAATGACACATTTTAATATCTTTTTTTTTTTTGGTTTATTTGTTTGTTTTGTTTTGTTGCACATCCAAAACATCCAAAGCCTCGTTTTACTCTGCAATAAGCATAAGAAGGTGGGCCAGCAGCATTTTGGGCTAGTTACTGTGAGTTAATGTATAAACTCATGTATATAAGCATGCATAATTTCTTCGGGCACATGGTGAGCAGTGTAGGACCCAGGAAAGGTGGATGTGGTGTGGCAATGCAGTGTTAGTGAGTTATGAAGCTTCCTGGGTCTGGCCTCATACTACTGGCACTTAGTACATGAGTTTACTGACATAGCCAAGCAGTTACACTGGCTCACAATAAAGGGTGCTGCCTTACAATTGGATGATGAGGTGGACTGCATGTTTGCTGCCCTCCTTGCCCAACTATGTGAGGTGCCGGTACTGACATTCCTCAGTGCCAGCAGTGAGTTCAGCATGGACACAGACACCAGCGATAAGGGCATCAGTGCCATTTTCTCACTGGTACAGTACAAAATTGAAATCATTGCATACTACAGTCAGCACTTGAGCAAGCAAGAGCATGTGTCAAGAAGGGGCTGTGCCATTTCCACCCTTACCTATATGGTGTCCCCTTTGTCCTACAAACTGATCATGCCTTGCTGACC